GGCCTTGCATGGGCCGGCTTTGCTGACCCGCCCTGTGTATCTGCGATGATGTCCGGGCGTGTGTCTGGAGTGTGTGGCCGTGCGTGTGCCTGCGTTGTGTATCTCTTGTCTGTTTTGGTTAGTGTGTGATTGTGTGTACTGTTCTCCGTGCGCTTGATTTCTGTATGTTCCTGAATGTGTATCTCTTGTGTCGCCACCCTGGTTTTGTTGACTGCTCTTGTGTGTGATTATGTGTTCAGGTGTTGTCTGCGTGTGTGATGGTGTCGTGTCTGTGTCGCATGTCTGTCAGTTTGTCCGATTGTGTACGGTCCGATCTCTTTTGTGTCCTGTGCCTGTCTGTCCAGTGTCTGCCTCCCTGGGCTGTTAGGAGAGTCCCCGGTGGTAGCCAGGCTGGGACTTCCTTCTTGGGGCGCATGGCTGTTTCCCAGCAGAATGAACTGGCTTCTCACTCACCGCCCCTCGAGGGTCTTCCCCATCTCCTTGTACTTCCACTGTACTTAGCAGGGAAACACCATTTCCTGCCTTTGATGTCACTGATTAAATTTTCCCTTCTTCGAACGGTTCAGGCAGCTGGTTTCTTTCTTTGTGTGTGTGCAGACCTGACCACAGTTCCGCACTTAATGTTGAAAAAACCAAAACAAAGCAAAATGCGTGGAAAATGCAGTTGGGCAAAAGCATGTACAGTTGAAACCCCACCTTCTTTTTTTTTTTTTAACCCTATCTTCTTAACCCTTAGCACCCTGCCCCCATAGTTTTTAGTACACCTTCTAGAAATACACTATGCAAATATATCTCTGCTTTGTGATAAGAACACATGTTTGTATGTGGCATCCTGCTCCTTAAAGCTGCTCATGGCTTGATCATCTGATAATTTTTCTTTCCATGTCTATTTTTTTTTTGCCATTTGAATTCTGAACACATTTGTAATTCCAGCCTCTCACTGCCCAGATCTCACACTAGTTTTTGAGCTCTGGAGGTTCACTCCAAGAGCAACATTGGAATTCAGTCACCTGCTAACCAATACCAAATTACCAGCCTGTACAGCAGTGACTAATCCCACTGAAACTGCTTGGCTCTGTGATAGTGGATGTCATAGATGCTGAAAATGGACTTTGGTGTTAGCAGGACACGCACAGAGGTGAAGGAATATGCTCTTTATCACACAGGTCTAGATTTTGTGCTACTGCTGTTCCTCAACTAGCTACATAGCTGTGAGCACATGGAGCCCCTTTTGTGACCCCTGAATATGCAACCGCATGTTGGAAACACAGTTCCAGGGTAGTCAGAGGTATGCCCCAACTCTGCACAAGTTACTTTGTACCAACATACCTTCTAATGTCTATACTGCTGCAGAGATTCTTTTGCTGAGTCTGCATTTTCCTTGTCTCTAGAGCTGGGGTGGTTTGACTTTTTCCACTTTTTCAGAGACTTGACTAACTTGGATGAGGTAATCTCACAGCTTAAGACCAACGTCATTTCATTGTCTTCCTCCCTATTAAAATAAAAAAAAAAACTTTCTCAGTTCACCCCCCCAATTTAGTTCCTTACTTACTCACTTTATTAGTACTGTACTTACTCAGCAAATAGCAAACTCTGGTCGACGAAGATCCAGGCACTGAAGGAAATCACAGGCAGGGGGTTGGGGGCGATGGGTTTTGCTGGGAAAGTAGGACAAATCAAGGCATACTTCCTGGAGGCTGTGCCCATTTACAGGGCCTCAAAGGGGGAAGAGGAATGCTCCCCTCTAATTGCTTCCTGCCGAACTCTTCCCTTGAGTCTCTCCATGGGGAGAATGGGGATTTGACCTCCTGCTAAAGAGGAGGTAAACTAGGGCCAGCACCCATTTGGGGAGACAGCTGAGTGCAGAGGTGTGATTCCACCCGACCTGATGTGCTGGGAGGATGGCGCTCAGCGCTCCCTGGTGGGAGGGGCCCTTGTCTCAGATGTCCTGACCACAGTAGCACGTCATGGTGCTTCCAGGCTGCGGCCAGCCTGTTTATTTGTTTCTCTCTTTGGAGTGGATATATGGACTCTGCCGACCTCTCAGCACAGAGAGGGATTCAGAACAGTCACTCTTCTGAGTCCTTAGGTAAGTGCCTTCAGCTTTTGGAGTCTGGGTTTCTGTGCCCATGTGTGGGGGCTGATGGTGTACTTGAGTTGTAGAAAAGATTCAATGATCATAATGATGCCAGCTCATCCTTACTGAGTACTTACTGTTTGCCTGGCACTGCTCAAAAAGCTTTCAATCACCCATTGGGATCTGCTATTATTTAACAGTTATGAAAATTGTGGTTCAGAGAGGTGAAGCAGCTTGCCTGAGACCACACAGCAAGAAATTTCAGAGTTGAAATCCTGGAGGCAGGATATTTTTCTCTGATAGGAGTCACAGAGAAAATATTTTGTGTTTTGTGCACCAGACAGCTTCTCTTACGAATCAACTACACAGGCAAATATGTACATGAACACATGGGGCTTTGTGCCAAAAAAATTTTATTTGTGGACACCGAGATTTGAATTTTATATAATTTGCACATGTCCTGAAATAGTCTTCCTTTGACTTGTTTCTAGTCACTTTGAAGCAATGCCAAAGATTTTGTAGTGCATAGATTATGGTTTGTTGTCCTCTGGAAGCGTGCTGTTAACCAGAATGTAATTTCATTCATTCATTCAGGAACTATAGAGGCTGCAATTTTCTGGGGTACTGGAGGTAAAATGAAAACAAGGCAGATGAAATTATTCTACAGGAGACAGCAATTTCATGGGGGAAACACTTATAAGCAAATAATAAGAATTTCAGATGCTGGTAAGAAAATCTGATGTAACTAGGGGCTTTAAGGTGGAACACTTTCAGGCCACTTTTAGGCCAACTTCTGATGAATTTGGGTGATGTAACTAGGGGCCCGAGAGGTTTATTTGGATTGTCTGAGAAGATGTTGAACTCCAGATTCCTCTTTTTGTTCTTTAGGTGAGTTAGGCAATCCTTGGCTGTGATCTGTGGTGGGGTAGGGCTTGATAGTCAACAGATTAGCCCATGGTCTGAGCTTATTGGCAGGGTGAAGATATTTCTTTCTGATTGGCCAGCTTCCTCCAAATGGAGCTGGGCCTTTCACATCTCATCCTCTGGGTCCTGAAGTTCAGTGCAGTGTGGGTTGGGGTGGGGGAAATTTCAGCTCTTATATTCAAGTTCACAGGTTTACTTAACACTTTGTTTTCAGTGTGATTCTTCTACCCTCAACTCTGTTCTTCAACCAGAAACTATTTCCGTTCTCTTGAGGAAAAAAAGAAGGTTGCTTTTCCACTCTGATGGGAAGATGATCTGGCGTCTCTGGAAAATCTATTTTGAGCAAACATTTCAATTTTAGCTGCTACTCACCACACTGTCTGTCTTTCAGAGTTAGTAGTGTCACCAAAAACTGTGTTTGGGGAGTGATAGTAGAATTCTGCTACGGGAATTCTATTTGGCTTTCCACCCTGATGACTTACAATTTCAGTTTAGGTTTGAAAAGCATCAGCAGCTCTTCAGCAGGCCTCTTATTTTCACTCTCTTTTTCCAAGTAAACCTGCCCCTTTAAAATGTTATAAATAAACAAATGAATGAATGGATAGCTAAATAAACAAATAGATAAGTAAAACCATCACTTACTTACAGTGGGGGTTTCAGCAGGGTGTGAATGGGGGGCTAACGTTCATCACAGAAGCCTGTTGGGAGCCAACTGCCTGAGGGCAAGGACCTTCCCTACAGGGGGTCAGCAGGTGTGAAGAAATAACTGATTCCACACAGGGGAATCTCACACTGGGGCTAGCATCAGTAGCCTGTGGAGTGCTCACTCAAACCTGGAATGTGGGGTTCCCCAGGTTTCAAGAGGTGCGGGCAAGCGTCTAAAGTCTTGATGGCCAAGTCCCCAGTGGTGTGCCCTTGGTTTGGCAATCTCTCTTCATAAACCACAGCATCATGGAAACGTTTAGCACCTGCGTATTCACAAGAGCCAGTATGATTGTTCTGTCCTCATAATTCCCCAGGGTAGCCCAACGCAAGACCAATACAGATCAACACTTGTTCAGTTGAACCAAAATCTCCCTGCCCACCCCCCTGGACATTGAGTCCTCTCTGGCTGAGAGTTGCCATCAATTGTTGCACCCACCGACCATTTTCTGTCAGCATAGTTGGAGCTGGGGTGGCTCAGGGGCCTGGGCAGAGCAGGGCTTCTGTGAGAGTGTGGGGTTCTCACTGGGCAGGCCCATTTCTCAATCCTGTGCAGCTTCCCCTTTCTGGCCCTATGCTAGCGGGTCTCAGCCCCGCCTCCCTCCGCCTGGGCCAGGGGAGACCCAGCAAACGGGAAATCCGAATTTCCTCTGTCTTACTCAAGACTGTCCCCTTCCTCCAGGGGGATTTCTCCACCTGGACTCTCCACTCTTCTGCTGTGGGGTCCACAGAGGGCTTCTAAGGGGAAGCGGCCAGGTGGGTGGGTGGGGATGGGCCGGGAAGGCCAAGAGGGAGGGTGGGGGGAAAGACTGAGATTTTCACTGGGGCTCATGCTCCGTGGTGGAGGGGCTGAGGCCTGCTATCCTCAGAGACTTCCGCTGAAGTACTGAGTTTGGGGGACCCCAGTAACGGGGGACTAGGGAGCCACAACAGGGGTGGAGAGAGAAAGAGAGACTGAAATACTGGAAATGTCAGCGAGAGATACATAAAGGCAGCTGTAGAGAGACGCAGAATAAGGAGGCCAAGGAATCAAGGCGCCCTGGGACCCGGCGCTACCACAAATAAGAGACCCAGGCGGACATCAGAGACAGAGATAACCGCTTGGGAGAAAAGGGGAAGAGTGGAGCAGAGCTTGGAGGAGCGAAAACGATACTCTCTGGGAAGAAGGCTCGCGGGGTGCGGGGAGGGGGGCGGGGAGCGATGCGCTAGCTCCGCCCGGAAAGCTGGGCTGACGTAGGCAGTAAAGGGTTATAAAGCTCGGCGCGGGGACCCCGGCTGCAGTCGCCTGCCTCTGGTCATGCCCTGCCTCGCCGAAGCCGCCAAGGACCCCGAAGCCCAGCGGTCGCCCGAGCCCTGTGGCCGCGCCTGCTGCCTGTTGCCCTGGGTCCTGAGCGCCTCGCTGCTGTTGCTCGCGGGCATCCTCGCCGCCGCGGCTGCCCACGCCTGGATCTTGCCCAGCGCTCCCGCCTCGCTCAGCCAGGACCCCGCGCCCAGCCCGACGCTGCCCGAGGTCTCCGAGCGGCAACCCGACCCCTGCCCCCATCACCGCAGCACCCCACAGGTGAGTTGTGCCGCGACCTGGGCTCCGGGGGAGACTCCCATCCCTTTCTCCGAAATCTTCACCTCGCAACGGGGGGAGATCCCACCGGCATCCTGGCCCCCGAGATAAGAATCTTTTTTCCCTCCCGACCTTTTAATAAACTGAACTTGTCAGCCGCTTACCTGGCTATATAACTTTGGGGGGGTACACGTTAGCACATCCATGTGTACACATACTGTACTCAGCTTCCACCAAAACTCCATGCCAAAGACCTGAGTGAGGGACGGAACCATTTAGGGGCTCCCACTTTTTTTGCTAACTCCCTGAAAACCTGCGTTTTCTTGGGGACCCTGCCTTCCCTTTCTCCCAGGGCCCTGGGCAAGGACCCCTGGAGAGTAGCTCCCCTTCTCCCTCCTGCATCCTCAGGGCGGTGGGGGTGGGTCTGTCCTTGCAGACTGCATGGGTTGGGGCAGGTTGGGCCCCCAGCTTAGGGGATGCTGCTTGTGTGGTCCTTTGGAGATAGGTGCAGGGGAGGTAGGCTCCAGCCCTCCTCCTCCTCCTCCTCCTCCTCCTCCTCGAACTGCAGCTGCTGGGTCTGGGCACCTCCACTCACTTTCTCCCTTTCTTCTCTCTTCAGGGTTTGTTCGCCAAGCTGGTGGTGAACAGTGGTAAGTGTCCTGCCCCACTGTGAGGGAGGGGGCACGGTCTAGGCCTGTGGGGGCGGGATGGTTTCCTTTCTGACTTTCTTACTGCCCCCAAGCCACCCCCTTTCTGAAAGCTGCTCCTTCACCCGCTAGAACCCATCTTTCTCCCTGGGACCTTCCCAGGACACTCTGGCTGTCTCGCACCACATCCCTGCGCTCGAATCTGGGGCTTCGTCCCTCACCTCCTAGCCTGGCCTGGTCTCACTGGCTCTGGGAGATCCGGGGCCTCCTCCCCACCCCCACCTTCCTTCCCCCTTCTAAAAACCCTCTTTCCCTCACTTCCCCTCCCCTCCTTCTAAACCGTGGGCCTCTGCTCTTCCCTACCTCCCCCTCCCGCCACTTCCAGATTCTGGTCCTCGACCTCTTCGGAGGCCCTCCCTCTAGCCCCTCCCCATCGGAGGCCCCCTTCCCTCGAGTCCTCTTTCCTGGAGCCTCTCCCTCCTGTCCTTTCCCGCTCCAGAGTCTCCCCCACCCTCTTTCTTCCCTACCCCTTCCAGAGATGCGCTCCCCACACCCTCCCCTCCCCTCCCTTGCCTTCTCCGCCTCGTCTCACCTTCCACCCCTCGTCCCATTTCCTCACCTTGTCTCCTCTTTCTCTTTCCTCCTCTCAAAGGCCCCTTGCTTTCCCTCACTTCTTGAATTTGTTGCCCTTCCCATAGCCTCTGTCTTCCCGCCCCTCTCTCCTTTCTTCCTCTGAGTCCCGTGCCCCAGTCCTCCTCCTTACCGCCCCCCCACCCCAAGTCCGGTCTCGGTCCTCTGGCCCCTGGGACTCTCCTGCTGGCTTCCTTCCCGTTTGCATGCCCTCCCCCTGCACAGCCTTCTAGACCATTCCCAGAAATCACTCGCCCGCCTCCTCCGCCCTCTCAGAGTCCTCTCCTCCCCACACCGTCCCTCTTCTCCCCGTGTTCCCCTCTCTTAGGGCGTCTCTTCCTCCCTTCCCCGCCCCCCACCCCGTGGGCGCTGCTTCCTTGGGGTCTCCCCAAGCCTCCTCAAACTCTGCCCCACTTGCGCCTCCAGTCCTCCAGAGCTGCGCCCCGCCCCACTCCCCGCTCACCACACCCTCCTGTCCCCCCCGCAGCGCAGCTGACCGACGGACCCCTGCGCTGGCACAGCAACCGTGGCCTGGCGGGTGTGTACCTCTCTCCGGGCCTGAGCTATGACGAGAACACGCAGGAGCTGGTGGTGCCAGAGGCCGGGCTCTATTACGTCTTCCTGAACCTGGAACTGCGGCGCGTGGTGGTGGCCAGAGAGGAGTCTGCCCCGGGCTCCACCTCCGGCTCAGTATCCCTGCAACTGCAGACTCAGGGCTTGGGGGGTGAGGCCCTGGCCTTGACCTTGAACTTGCCACCTCTCTCCTCGGGGAACTCAACAGCTGCTTTCCGGAGTGGCCAGCTGAATCTGGCCGCTTGCCATCGCCTGGGCGTTCACCTGAAGGTCTCCGGGCCTGCCCTGTCCCACTGGCAGCTCTCCCAGGCCACAGTCTTGGGCCTCGTCAGGGTGATCACCGAAGACCCTGAACTACTGTCGCATCAGTCCACGTGACACCTGAACCTTGCCTGCCTTTCTTCTTTGGGGTCCCTAGCGATGGGTTCCCCTCCTCTACCTCATCTGGGCAGGGGTTCGGCTGCTGACCCCTCTTGGAGGACTCTCCACATCACTATCACTCCTGCCCCAAGTTGAACTCTCGGTATTTATTCTGAGTCTGGACACAGACCGTATTTTATATTAATGCATTCAACTTATATTTATTGGCGTCTGCTACTTTGCAGGGCCAGAGAAACACCAGCAAACAAAACAGGCCAAAAAATCCTTATTTATGTTAATATATGAAAAATAAAGACTCACCCCCAGCCCTCCTTTGGGACTTATAGCGTTAACTTTGGGGGGCCACCTGACTGTTGTGTGAGTTTCGTTCATTCATCCTAAGATTTGATGAGCATCTACTGTATATCGAACGCTGTTTTAGATGTTGGAGACACAGCGGTGAGCCAGGCAGACAACACTGCAGCTTTGGGCAAACAAACGGGCAGCCTGGTGCACCTTGGCCATGACAGTGGGTATGTAGCTGGGCCGCGTGAGATGGCTTGTGGTCCCGGATGCTACAGCATGTATAAACTGAATGACTACTTGGTATTAATTATATGCCAGACAGTGTGAATTATCTTATTAGAGACTCATACCTATCCTGTACTTAGGGATTTTATTATTCCCACTTTATTCATCTCTATGGGCCTCCGGTTATTTCTACTGTGTCTGTGACGGAAATACTGTATGGTACTGTCCTGCAGGGCATTGCTTTCCAGCTAGGCTCACTGACGTCACACTAAGGTATGTTTACACTGCAGGAGTCTGCAGATGTTCCAGGTCTGGTCTGAGTTTTCCTCTGCTGATCCTCTTGAGTGGAGAGAATGAGGCTAATGCAGATTAGACTTTAAATGTGTCTAGTTAGTACCTGTTACCCTGTGAATAACACACTAGAACTTGAGGAAGTTGTTGTTTAATGTTTTCAAACCATTATCTGATTTAGTGAAGAAGTTGCTGACAGCAAGCCAAGTGTGGTCAGACATCCTTGTTCCATTTCATCTGAGTCTTTAAAGCAACATGATCTGTGTTCACTTGTTTGTCACTTGCAGCCATAGCTTGACTGGGTACAAGAGTGGGAAAATGGTGTGTTGGGAGCACTAATGGAAAATATGGAATTTGGAGTATATTTTATTCTAAGTTGTATGCTGCACATTATTTATGCCAGTACAATCTAATAAACGCACATATTCATTTACCCCTTCTCTAGAGAGCTGGCTGTTAAACATTTCTTGTACCCTGCTTCCTCTTCATTCTGACCTGTTCCACAGCCCCACTGAGTAGATATTTTGTCAACCGGTCCATACCAACCAGCTGGGTGTTCACTTCTTAGGGTAAAAGGGGCTGAGCATACAGAGAAGTCTCCACGGAGGTTGCAACCTTGCTGGGCCTGGAGGAATGGAAGAGAGGAAGGAGTCAGAGGTGGGAGTGTGAAGTGTAGGTGAGAAACATTTGTGTGACTTATCTCTACTCTCTTTTCTTTTAATGTCATCACTGTTTATGCTCAGAAAGGTTGCAGTTCTTTCATACACCTTCACTCTGGGTGATTCAAGTAAACAACTCTTTAAAGAGCTGGTCTCCAAGTTCCTTCTGAGTGGCCATCACTGGCATTGAGCTGACACCCCTTTGTATGGCCATACTGGTCATTAAAGTGTCATGAAACTAGCCCCATCCTAGTTGGTAAATGCCTACTAGTCTCCACCCCCATTGCTGGATGTTCTTCTGGACCACCAGGAGGACGCTGTGATACAGCATCTAAACCATTCACCCCACAATGGTGCAGGCAGGGTGGGCCATAGGTCAGCATCAAATCTGATTGGTTCAGGGGTCAGATTGGTCACTGGTTACTGGGTCTCGCCTATTTTGAATAGCAGCTCTGGTGCCAGATGATGTCACTCCTCTGGCACAACTGATTGGACCAGCGTGCGCACATGATTCCAGCTGGGCCAATAAGATCTCCTCAGGAGGAATGTAGAAGACCTGGCCCCAAAGACCATATTAGTCAGGTATTGGAAGACCTGAGAGAGAAGCTGGTACCAATCTGTGCACACAGAGAGGAGCAGAGGAAGACGTGCCAGGAGTCAACAATGAGACTACAGAGCTCTCGCCAGAAGAACAGCTTAGTTTCCTACTTGCCTCTCCCCAGTGCCCTGCCTGCCCCAGGGTGCTAGTTTCCTAGGCTTGTCCCAACAGGACACCAAACTGGGTGGCATAAACGACAGACACCCAGACACGTCTCACAGTTTTGTAAGTCAGGACTATGGAAGTTGTGGTCAAATTAAATAGTCAGCAGGGGTCATGACTCCGGGGAAGACACCTTCCTGCCTCTTACAGCTCCCATGGGTTGTCTGCAAGCCTTAGTATTCCTTGCCTTGCAGAGAAACCAACAAATGGATAAACTAAACAAAATGGAAATAAATTAAAAAAATTTAATAAATAAATAAATTAATAAAAGGATGCCCTCTTGACACTTACATAATGCTCTAGTCAAATGTCACTTCAATAAAAACATTTTAAAAAGGGACATTTGGAGACAGACACACACATCCAGGGAACAGCGTGTGAATGTGATGGACACCTCCCAACCAAGGAGAGTTAGGCCTGAAACAGATTCTTCCCCAGGGTAAAGCTTTGATTTTGGACTTCTGACTTCCAGAAATGTGAGACAGTAAATTTCTGTTGTTGAAACCACCCAGTTTACTACGAAAGCCTGCTGAAAGCCTTAGCAGGCGAATGAAGAGGGTTCAAGTGTTGACGCATTGCAAACACCTCAGTGCACACTCAACAAGTTTGGGCTATTATCAGAACCAAATAGATAAAACAGTGTTACACAAACACAGTGATACAACAGAGGGGGGTGTCATGTTGGTAGACAAGGTCAGTTAGAAAAAGATAGTATGCAGTGAAAATAGAATGTCTATGGAGGAGGAGAACAAGAACCACACAAGGTAAAGATGGAGTTCTCACGTAGTGAGAAACACGCAGAGTCTCTATAACAGCTAAGGGGCCTGTTGCAAAGAAACAAAGGTTTACCAGTTGGAGGTTACAGGTACCTGGTCATCCCTGCACACCAAGCAGAGTTACCAGGCGAGAACTTGCATTAGTGTACAGAGAAAGAAGATAATCATTTCTCAATGAAACACCCAAAGTTACCCACTCCCTTGTGGGTAAATAAATGAGGTACAGCTAGGGTGTTATGAAGTCAGCCCGCCTCCCGGGTGCCCTGTGGGGGAGGCTGACAATGGCTGCCTTCTCTTGCTCTGTACTCTAATTTTGCTCCTTTGATCCCAGACTTGCTCCTTTAATCCCAGGCTCCTTCCTCTCCCTCCACATCCCCCCTCCAACCCCCCGGCAAAGTTCCTTAGACTTGTGGCAAGCTTTCAGATCTCAGTGACCCCACTTTGAGCTATCCCTATTTGGCTGGACATTTATTTACCCACAAGGGAGTGGGTAACTTTGGGTGTTTCATTGGGAAATGATTATCTTCTTTCTCTGTACACTAATGCAAGTTCTCGCCTGGTAATTCTGCTTGGTGTGCAGGGATGACCAGACTCCTTTAGAGTGTGCACATTTGGGGGTCCTGGGTGACCCCTGGTCATGTCCTAGAATTACCTAGAAGTGGGATTGCTGGATCATACAGAGCAAGCATTTTAAAGTCACCCATCACTGTGTTCAAACTCTGCTTTCCCCATTCTGGCTAAGCTGTGAATCCTTGGGCAAGTGCCTTGCTTCTCTGGGGTGAGTGCCTGCCATTGTCAAGCTGAACAAAAATTGTATCTCGTGGGGTCTTAGAAGTACTCAGTGAGTTAATGGGTTTAATAATACAGTGCCTGACCTTTGATTTGAGAGGTAGAAGCTGTTACATTAGTTGGGTCATGGGGAGTTGATCTATAAAGCCTGAAAGCACACCAGGTAAGCACAAGGTTTAGTGATGTGAGCTTCAGGTAGGAAGGGCAGCGTGTGTGAAGGGCTGGAGGTAGTAGTGGTGAGGGTAGTGCAAGGTGGGGGGCTAGAACTTCGGTAGGGGGCCACACTATGTAGGCCTGAGGACGCCAGCCCAAAATTTATCCTAGTGGCAATGGAGTATTATGAAGACGAAATGTCAGATTAGCTTGGTAAAAGATCTCTCTGGCAGGGGTTAGAGTTTGAAATCAGGGGCAAAATACTGAAGGCAGACAGTGAGCAAGAAAGCCTCACTCTGGTGAGAGAGGGTGAGAATTTTGGGGTGGAGGCTGACTGTGAAGATGGGCAAGAGTTGAAAGCACCCAATGATGCCATAAGAAGAGTAGAAATTGGCAAGACTTTGAATATGGGTGAGAAGGAAGAGCCGACTTGCTCCCTGCAACTAGAAAGATGCTGGAGGCATTATTTATGGATTTGGGGACCCTCGAAGGGCACACACAGGTCACGTTGGGACGTGTGGAATTCCCAGGTACCTTTGAGGCAGCCCATGGGGCGTGTTGAGTCAGTTCTGTGACTAGGTGAGCTTTTCATGTGGGATGGAAATTTGACAGTGGTTGATGTATTTTTATAAAGAACATTTTGAGCAAGGATGAGATCTCTTAGAAACAAAATGTAACAGGAAAGAAGGTCTAAGATCAAGCGCCAAAGACCTTGGGTGGATGATGGTTCAGTGGGGGAGGAGTGGAGGTTGGGGGAGGGGCCAGGTATGCATAAAAGCCTAAGCAGCAGCCAGCCAGGAAAAAGGTAAATCAAGTTCCTAAGGAATCTGTTTCAAGAAGGAAGTTATGGTCAATGGTGTCCAATCAGTTAAGGTGAGAACTGAAAAATATTTATCAGATGGTGAATCATCAGACTCATCAGTGGTTTTATGAGGGGTATTTTCAGGGGTGTGAAGGGATCAAGTGCCTCAGTGGAGCTTGAGGAATTAGTGGCCAGTGAATAGTGGGAGACAGCTTCTCTAGACGGCTTCTTTCAAAAGGCTAATATTTGGAACTACTTTCAAATTTAAACACACCTTACATGATTAGGAAAATACATAGAACACCCGTACATCTTGCAGCCAGATTCACAGGCTGCAACATTTTGTCCATTTGCTCTGTTATTTGCTGCTTCCCCTTACTTACCCAGGTTGGGCCCTGTTTGTGAATAAAAGTTGGAAGTACTCATTTAAGATGAGTCAGATAAGATTTAGGATTATTAAGAAACAAAACCAGAGGAAATCACAACCTCAGAGACTGGGGCAGTTCTAGGAAATTCCAAATGTAGTGTTAATAGATTTAAAAAAATGGGAAGAGGCCCTCCCTGGTGGCACAGCGAGTTAAAGCCCAGCACTAAGAAGCTAAAGCCACTTCAGCATGAGTTTGATCCCTGCCCTGGCTCCAGAGGTGACCCACAGGGCGTGGCAGACCTCTCCTGACCTGCCTGCTGCTCTCCTCAGCAGTGTACTTTGTCGATCTGCCTGTTCTGCTCCCCACTCTGTCTCTGGTGAATCCTCTCACCACCCCTGCACCTCTGGCTTGTACCCCAGTTCTGTATGTATAAATAAGTAAATCTTTCAAAAAATGGGAAGATGTTTTGGGGTAATTTATTATGATAACTTGGAAAGAAATTTGGGACTAGGTGAATTTTTTTAAAATTTATTTTTGCATACAAGAGCTGGTGTGTAGGCCAGAGGTGTGAGGTGTGAGAGGACTCACCAGAGACAGAGTGGGGAGCACAACAGGCAGATCTACCAAAATACACTGCTGAGGGGAGCAGCAGGTGGGTCAGGAGAGGTCTGCTGTGCCATGTGGATCACCTCTCTGGCTGGGGATGGAACTCATGGCTGCTGTGGCTGAGGATAGCTTCACAGTTTCGAGATTTAACCCTCTGTGTCACCAGGGAGGCCCTAGTTGAATTAATTTTGCCCTTTCTTTTGGCTCATGTATTAAGCAGAACCCAGGGTCTCCCTTAGATTAACTAGTGGGTATAAAGCGTCAAGTCACCAACAGCCCTCTCCCGCGTCTGGTTATAGCAAAAGAATAGGCACAATAACTGGAATTTTCAAATACAAAAGTTAGCAAGCAATTAAGAACTAGCAGGCACATTACTGTAATTAATACCAGGAAGGAGGTGTCCTGAACTCCACAACTGCAGAGAGAATAAATACCCAAAATGAGCAAGAGTTAGTAGAAAAAGACCTCAGGATAAAGTTTAAATCATAACCATTT